CGGACGGAGAACCGTTCTCCCGTTCCACTTTGCTCCTGGTGAAGTATGCCTGATATCGCAACTAACACGAACATCCCCTTCTCTGTTGGCATGCCGAGGAATGGTGCCTCGCAAAGTTCACGTTTAATGTTTTCAAATGAAACTTGTGCCTCATCAGTCCAAGTGAATTTTTTGCCTTTAATTCTCATCAACTGCTGCATGGGGTATATCTTATCGGCGTATCCCTGACGAACTCCCGATAATAGTACCCCAAAAAGCTCATCGGTTGTGTATCTGACCGCTTCGGGATCCGGTTTCTTTCCATGCTTATCCACCAGGCGGCCCAGATATTTTATGGAGTCTCTGAGGATTTCACACTTTGAGGGTTTACACTTCAGGCCCGCCTGCTTCATGCAAGTAAACACCTCATCCAACCTCTCTATGTGATCCTCCAGGTTTGGTGTTGCTATTGTTGTTGTTGTTGTTGGGGATTCACAGCACTGCTGTTGGGATTCTTGGTCCCGGCGTCTTCTCCAAAACAATGTCCACTTGTTTCTGCACGTGATACAATCACAGAATAATTGCCACGTGCACGTTGTCATTTCTGAAAATCTCTCGTTTACAAATTTCCACATCGTGTTTAAAATTCTCGTCTTGAGGCCGATTCGTTTATCAAAATGAATATATGGTTCTAATCGATTTACAATCCTACTGGTTCTGAAATTCGTTTCTCGCTTTTTCCGTTCTCACTTTTCGCATCTCAAACATTTCTGTATTTCTAGCCCGTGTGGTTCGCCTGTTTAACACTATTTCATTTCGTTCATTAGAATCAAGACTGGCAAGAAGTAAGATGTTATTTAGCTGGATGAACATGGGCAGGGGTAAAATGTTTAGCAAGCGTAGTTCGTTGATGTACACTCCCGTTTTATTTCCAGTGATCCACCGGATTACTTTCTTTTGAAATCGCTCCAACTGCAATTGATCCCCCCTCGATATATGTGTACATGAGAGTCCGTATAATAACACTGGGAGTATTAGTGACTTATACAGGCCTAACTTTACAAACGTATTTATCTTTGCTGATAGGTTTCTTCTCAGGAGGTACAGTACTTGGTTTGCCTTCTTTAATCTTGTTTCAATGTGTACCTTCCAACTTAAATCGCCCGACACAAAAATTCCCAGATCTTTCACAACCATCGATGTTCCAAGCACTACACCAAAAAGCATAGAGTTAGCGTCTCCGCCCCTAAAACTTACTTTTGCACATTTATCTAGTGCTAATTCCATTTTGTTTTCAGTTACCCACTGCTGAATTTTGTCCAGATCTTCTTGAATTTCAATTGATGTTTTTTTGATGGAAAGTAGTTTAAGAACATCGCAAAAATATATGGTTCAGAGAATTTGAGTACTTCAGGTAGGTCGTTAATAAAAAATGCAAAAGAGCAGTGGTCCTAAAAGTGATCCTTGGGGAACACCACTAGTGACTTCTAAAACTTTTGAGCTGATATTGTCTACTCGTACAAACTGTTTCCTGTTTTTCAAATAGTCATAGAGTACCTCTAACATGCAGCCTCCTATTCCTATAAGTGCAACTTTCTTAAGTAGATCAAAATGCGGAACTTTATCAAAGGCTTTTGCAAAGTCAGTGTAGACTGCTACAATTTCTGCGTTTGAGTCATTGTCAAGCGCTTCATATATTTCTTTCAGGAAAGAGAGCATGTTCGTCAAAACTGATCTACCTTTAGTAAAACCGTGTTGATGTTTCGTCAAATACCAGGCAAAGTAAGGGTACAGGTCTTTGTATATACATTTTACAAGGACTTTGCTGTCAATATTTAATAGCGATACTGGTCGATAGTTGTTCACCATTTTTCGGTCACCTTTTTTGTGAACAGGAGTAACTGCAGCTGTTTTCCATGAATCTCAAAAGTTTGTTCATCGGTTTGCATATATTGCGGTTCGTTTTCTGAAAAAAGCTAGGTGGCAACCCATTTGGGCCGCGTGACTTTGTTACGTCCAGAGTTGATAAAATTTCACTTACTGTCTTTTTCGATATATCAAAATTCGTTAACAAGGGATTTTCAAATTGAATATCTCTAATACTAAAACTTTCTTTAGGATTAAAAACTGAATGAAAGAAGTCGTTTAGCATGTTGACTTGTTCGTTTGGATTTGTGCTTTCAACTTCATCTTTTATGAGTAACTTAGGAAGACTTGTATGTTTATTCAAGTTCTTTAGGTGTTTAAAAATTACATTAGTGTTCCGTGTTCTAAACAATTCCTCTTGGTAGTTTTTCCTGTCCAATTCCGATGCTTCAGTTACTAAATTTTCAAACAGTTTAACTTGTTGTCTTCTGTAGTTGGTCGGTTTGAGTATACATGATTGCCGTTTTGTTTGTAACTTTTTGATCAAATTTGAAGTGCTACTTGTTATCCAAGGTGGATGTGATTTCCTATGTCTTGTTCTGAGAGGCACAAAACTCTTAATGATTTCATCCAAAAATTGGGTGTACTCCTCATGCGTTTTGTTAATGTTTGTGTGGCATACTGGTTCAAATGGGTTCTCGTTTATAAAATTGTTTATTCCTTCAAAATCGGCATTTCCAAAACTTCTAAGATTTTCCAAGTATGGTTTCGGCTCTGATACCGTGCATTCAATAGACAACATTATGGAATTGTGATCTGAGCAGTCATAAATCTTGGAAACGTTAAAATCTTGTTCGGCACTTGTATAGCAATTCCGATAGAAGGCTACGTCTAGTATGTTCTTCACACATGATGGGAAATCTATCGCCTGCCTAAAGAGTCCATTTTCAAAAATTTGCAGTATTTGGTTTTCTTCCTCGTCAGTACTGGTGAGGGTGTTCCAGTTTGTTTCTGGGAAATTTAAATCCCCACATAAGAGAAGCGGTTTGTTTTTAGGAATGGCTTTGATCAGTTGTTCAAATTCATGCACTTTGTATCTGTAATTACTGTTTTTTGGCGGATTGTAGAATGAGCCAATTATCATTTCAGTTTGATGAAGTTTTATACTACATAGCACACATGAATCAGGAATGTCATGTTTGGTGGATAAGTCCTCGGTAATTAGACTATTCTTGACAGCTATTAGGCTGCCTCCGTGACAGTTTTTACCACTCACAATAGCTCTATCAGATCTATAGATGTTATATTCACTTAGAAAAAGCTCTGATGATTGAATATTCTCGTTAAGCCAAGTTTTGCTTAAGCATATGACATTAAAATTTCCAACTGCAATTGCATTTGCTAGCTTAGTTCTTCTCTCTATGTTGATTAGGCTTCTAGTATTTAGTTGCAGAATGTTGAGGAATCCTAGTCAATGCTGGGATTCCTGAACTTCAGTGTCAATAGTTACTTTCACACCATCATTGAACAATTCTAGATTCCTTATTTTCAGCTTTTCGCGAGGAACGCCTTCATCTAGTAGTTGTCTTCGTTTCACAAGGATTTCGTTCTCTTTAATTGCACTCTCTTTGGTCAATGCTGGTAGCAGGTAGACCTCTTTTTCGACCAATTGTTCTCGCTTTTCTCGGCTTTTTGCTAGTACTAGTCGTGCTTCATGTTCGCTAGGTACAGTTACCAGCAGTGTTCTTGGCTTCATTCGATTACGATCAAATTTTCCCAGTCGTTTTAGTTCTATTATTTTCGGCTTCACTCCAATTATGTCTAGTATTTCGTTTACTTCGTCATTTGTTGGGACAAGGTTTTCTCCTTTTGTTTTCTCAGGGTCCTCTTTGACCCCTTGTATCCTAAAACTTTGATTTATGTTGTGATCAGAGTTAGATCTGGCAGCATGTTGAGTGGTTTGAGCTTGATTTATCCGGGTGGTGGTTTCAGCAGCTACAACGGCACTATAAGTTTTTTCCACTTTATCGCATGTCGTTTTCATTGCATTTCCAATTTTTTGATCTACTAAATCGGTAAGTCTTCTTTCCATGCTTTTAAGGCTTTCAGTTACATCAATGTTTGAGAGCTTCTCGTCTATGTTGGCCAGGGTTTTGCATCTTATAAAGTTGTCTCGTTCATTATTTTGCACACAAGTATTACAAAGCAACATGACATTCGGCCCTAGTTCTTTTATTCCATTTATGGCCACTAGAGACAACCCAACACAAGTTGGTTCCAAATGCATTTGAGCGTTGCATGCGACACAAGTGTATGTTTTCTCGTTGCCGGCAAAGCCTCTTTTACATGTTTTGCAGTTTTTGCACATTTTTGCTTATACTATGGATAGAAAAACAGTTAAACCTGGTGGTTACCGAAAAGGGGAGGCCTGTGGCTCACTCAGGGGAAAAAGAAGAAATAGACAAACCTGGTGGTTCCCGAAAAGGGGAGGCCTGCGGTTCACTATTTCTACTTACATTAATAGGGGCACTGACAGTTCTTGAAACGACACTCGTAATATACCAGATGTCCTTCTGTATTGCAGATGTTCGAATGTTTATCGTATAAAATTTTATTCTTGAGAATACTTTTAATGCCCTTCAGACCTTCTTCACTGAGGTGCACTTCGTCAGTTTTCAAATGATATGAGCTGTGGATTTTTTCACTCACTCCTCTAAACTTCCAAGTTCCTTTTATCTTTCTTAGGAATTCGTTTATTTTTGCAGATTGAGCTCGGTTCTCACTACGATGAGGGATTCCGATGATGAAAACTTTTTTGGCTCGTTCACACAGCTCCTCGGCTAGCTTCGACAGTTCTTCAGCAATGACGCCTGCAGGTATACTGGAGGGGTCTTTTCCGTTGAAGGCGTCGTTTCCGCCGATGAGCAGAGCGATGATGTTGAATTTGTCTTTCTCGGGTAAGAAGTTTTGGACCGCACCAAGTCGGGCCCCAGGTAGGTACAAGATATTGAAATTTGGAAAATCAAGATGGCGTGCTTGAGAATCCGCAATCAGGAGATTTTTTGAAGATGATGTCTTGAGCAAGTGATATCTTCTGTCGGACATTTTATCGCGGGGCAACCATTGCTACCCCGGTAAACAATTCAACTATCTGAAACTATTTAATAAGTTTATCACAACAATTAGGCTATATCTCATCTTGCTTTCTATCACGGCGTCATCGACATAACACATGATGAGGTTCCCGTATTTCTTTGTCTCACTCGTGAGTGCCTGGGCCATCAGTCGCTGGAATCGTGCCGTCGCGTTGCACGATCTGAACGGCATCCTCTTCCACTGGAACAATCCCAGCTCGCAAGCGAAGCCCGTTTTCTCACGATCTTGCTTTCTGAGTAGCTTTTGCCAGAACGCCGAGCCCAAATCTAACGTCGTGAAGAACTTCACGTCCCCCAGCCTGGAAAGGCTCTCATCGATGCGGGGAATTGGGTTTGCGTCCCTTATCGTCACTGCGTTCAGATAACGAAAATCACAACAAAACCCTGAGTTGCTCCCTTTCTTTTTAGCCATGAACACGCCACAAGCCCACAGGGACTTCGACGGCTCGATCATGTCGTATTCCATTAAGATCTCGAGGTCCTTCCTGCACGCTTCCGACTTATGAGGGGTCATTCTTCTCGCCCCTTCGCTATGAGGTACCGAGCCCTCTTCTATCTCAATCTCGTGTTCTACAAAATTGCAGCAACCTATTTCTTTGTCTCACTCGTGAGTGCCTGGGCCATCAGTCGCTGGAATCGGGCCGTCGCGTTGCACAATGTGATGTTTCTCGGCTCCCCGGAATAAACTTTGTTCCTTGGTTGCCTTGAATCCGGCTCCCCGGATAACTTTCTGTCCTTTGGTGGTCCCAACATTGTCTCCCCGGACAAGTCTTCCTGTTCGGGCTCAAAAGTTGCTAACTCCCCGGACATTGTCTCGTCCCCGGATAAAGAATTCAAGCTCGGTTTGTACTCTTCCCTTGCATCCATAAATTATACTTTTCTCGTGAAACTGGATTTCGCCTTGACACTTCAGTGGCTTGGACCTGGGTCGATTTCCCACGTTCAGTGAACGAAATCCTCAACAGGACATCCTTCGGCATTGAGGTCACTAGCTGGTTCACTATCGACCGGCAATTCCGTTCCAAATCGCGACTGCAAATGTCACATGCCTCTTCTCCGTTCTCTCAGTGACGGTCAACCGTTGGACGGTCTTCATCCACTCACGATCATGTCTTTCGACTTCTCTATCCAGCAAGTCAAGGAGCTTACCCGTGACGTCAGGCGCCACGTTCACTGTTCTATTTAGCAGGGCTATGCTGTTTATACCCAGCCTGGTAAGCTCTTGCTGCACCAGATTGGATCGGATTAGCAGATCCAATAGGACAGGATCACCCCTGGCCAATACCTTTATTTCAGCGGCCGTCTCCACCGGAAGTTCAGGGTGTCCTGGTATGGGGTGCCCTGACTTGTCCAGCCACCTGGTGAGTGGTAGCCTATCGTAGGTTTCCTTATCTAGAAATGAAAATCCGTCTTTGATTTCTGCCTGATTGGCCTGCTTCTCTTCTAACCGCTCATAGAACTCTGTCTTCCTACTGAGGTTATCAACATTCTGGTGCTTGTCAAGGATACGGTGCTCTATGATCATGTGGTAACCATCCAGGCGAACGATCCAACGACCAATATAACCTTGGTCCATCGAATAGGTTTTCAGCCAGGCAAGGGCACGATTATCGACACGCAATTTGAAGTGAGCACTCCCCAAGTAGGTCCTGTATTTTTCCACGAAAGTGATCACCGCGAACATTTCCGCTTTTGGTGCGCCGTACTTCATCTCAATATCGCTCAGGACCTTACTTCCGTAGGCTATCGGACGGAGAACCGTTCTCCCGTTCCACTTTGCTCCTGGTGAAGTATGCCTGATATCGCAACTAACACGAACATCCCCTTCTCTGTTGGCATGCCGAGGACTGGTGCCTCGCAAAGTTTACGTTTAATGATTTCAAATGAAACTTGTGCCTCATCATCCAAGTGAATTTTTTGCTTTATTTCTCATCAACTGCTGCATGGGGTATATCTTATCGGCGTATCTCTGGCGAACTCCCGATAATAGTTAGCAAACCCCAAAAAGCTCATCAATTGTGTATCTGTCTTGGGTGCCTTCCAGGTCAAGGCCGCTTCGACCGCTTCGGGATCCGGTCTCACTCCATGCTTATCCACCAGGCGGCCCAGATATTTTATAGAGTCTCTGAGGATTTCACACTTTGAGGGCTTACACTTCAGGCCCGCCTGCTTCATGCAAGTAAACAACTCATCCAACCTCTCTATGTGATCCTCCAGGTTTGGTGTTGCTATCACGACGTCATCGACATAACACTTGATGAGGTTCCCGTATTTCTTTGTCTCACTCGTGAGTGCCTGGGCCATCAGTCGCTGGAATCGGGCCGTCGCGTTGCACAATCCGAACGGCATCCTCTTCCAGTGGAACAATCCCAGCTCGCACGCGAAGCCCGTTTTCTCACGACCTTGCTTTCGTAGTAGCCTTTGCCAGAACGCCGAGCCCAAATCTAATCTCGTGAAGAACTTCTTGTCCCCCAGCTTGGAAAGGCTCTCATCGATGCGGGGAATCGGGTATGCGTCGTTTATCGTCACTGCGTTCAGATAACGAAAATCACAACAAAAACCTGAGTTGCTCCGCTTTTTTTTTAGCCATGACCACGCCACAAGCGCACGGGGACTTCGACGGCTCGATCATGTCGTATTCCATTAACATCTCGAGGTCCTTCCTGCACGCTTCCGACTTATGAGGGGTCATTCTTCTCGCCCCTTCGCTATGAGGTACCGAGTCCTCTTCTATCTCAATCTCGTGTTCTACAAAATTGCAGCAACCTATGTCGGCCTTATGCTTTGGAAAAACGTCTGCAATCCGGTTCAGCACCGCCCTAAGCGAATCTAGTTCTCGGTCTGATATCTTACCCTTCAGATGTTCTATCTCGGCTGGACGGGTTTACTTGCTGCTAACTCTGTTTCTGTCGACCTCTGTTTCTGTCGGGAAAATTCGAACAACTAGACAACCCATCATCTGTCTCCGACTTCATTGAAAACAGTTTCTTAGAAAATTTCAATTCATTTATTCTCTTCAGTATACATTCCTGGTTCGCGTGCAAGGGACATTTAGTTACATCAAACTTTTTCAAGTTTTCCACACTCTGAAAGTCTGTGTTCAGAGGCAATGCGTAGCCAAGTTTCTTTCCCCTCTGTATTGTCACTGTGATTGCTTCTGTGTTCAACAACACACTCACACACAGTCCGCTTTGAGTGAGTGAGAAACTTCTTCCTAAAATAGCCGAGCTCTTACTGTTTGGATTTGGTACCAGACTCACCTGTCTGTCAATACTGAGTTCATTTAGATTCCTTCAATTTCCTTCAGTTTGGCTTCAATTTCACTTTCCGATCCAGAAAAAACGGCACCTTATCCTGGTTATGTAAGATCTGATTAAGAGGTTTCTTTTCATACTTCCTCTCAGGATCTTTGATCCATATCAACCCGTCATTGAGGTCGATCGTGACATCAAAGTTGCATACGAAGTCAGTTCCCAGGACGAATTGATTTGACTCGTCCAAATTTTCCACCACCAGGAAGCTCATCTAAAGATGTCTTCCTCCAAGCTGCAGTGATATGATCGGGGTCCGTCCTGTCACATAGATTGCTCCCTAATTGGCAGCTGCCAGTCTGATGTTTTTCGGTATCAGATCTGACCGGTCAAAGCCCATATCAGTGCAGGTGCTGACTGGCATGAAACTGACTACTGCACCCGTGTCTAACAGTCCTTTTACTGAAAGTTGTCTGGCCTGCACATCTAGCACATGTGCTGCCAGATCGGCTTCGCAACCTATGTGGACCGCATTCTGTTCAAGCATGGCAATGTGTCCGATTCTTTGCACCTTCAGCTCTTCTTGGCCAATGTATATAGGGCCCACCTGATCACTCGCATCAGTCACGTGAGCCTTCGTGTAGATATTAATGCCATCTACATTCATCAGAATCGGATATGGGCCATGGACCTCGATGTAATGTCCATCTACTCTCATTTGCCTTGGACCTCCTGTCGTGAGCAGCGCTCGCACTGCCCTGGAGTCCAGCTTGGGATCCTTCTCCCTCAGGTAGTCTGCATAGATGTCCAGGTGGACCAGCGTAATCTCGGACGGTTCACTCAAGTTCTTAACCACCTGGTGTCCTGCGACTGAGATAATGGACATTATCTTCGTTCCTTCTTTCGTCATGCCGAAAGTTTTACCCGATATGACGTTTAGCTTTAATTCCTGCTTTCTGGGTTCTTGAGTGTCCTCTTTCGTTGTTTTACTCGAAAATTCAATTTTTTCACAAAGATCTGTGTTTTCCAGTTCCGACCTCACCCATTGCTCAACTTCCTTCGTGGCTAGTTCCTGTTGGACATTCTGTATCCCTGTCTTCGCTGCTAAGCCATAATCCACCTTGAGCGGGCCGGCCGACTCTGCCTCCAGACTCGAGGCTACCACCTCATTAGGCAAGGTCTTCACCTTCTTAGTCGTAAAGTTGCTTGGTGTCGTTTCTTTTCTCCGAGACTCAGCCTCGTTCATCAGAGGTGCTCGACTGGCTTTGACGCCTGAAAGCGCCTCTTCATGTCGGGGATGTTTCGCATCCGACACTGCATCCCAAAATTGAGTGCAATCCGACTTGAAATGTCCCTCTAAATTACAGAAGAAGCACCTCGGTCCGTACTTCATTATGAGTCCTCTGACGTACTCTTCGTGGTCCTCGTGGGTCGCCTCAACGTCATCGAGAAAGTAGCCTATCGCTTTCATGTTCTGTTTGTAAGCAGAACAGGCGGAAACATGGTGGTCCATCGAGCCATAATTCGCACATGACCTCCTCTTATCCATGTCGTCACGAGGTCTGTACCAACTGGAGTTCGCGCCAGCGTTTTTTCCGCTGTTGTTGCCATAATTGCTGTAAAAGTTTTGCGCCCTCGGCTTTATGAGCAAGAATTCACTTGACTTCATACGCAAATCATCGGGCGTGGGTACCTGGTCAAGCGATAGGGTGAAGTGTGTGGCTAGCATGGTTTTCAGCTCGTCACTTTTTACTCCATCCATGAAATTTGAGGCA